AATTATACGCCGAATTGGCAACTTTGACCCCCAAAATGGGGGGTAAAACTTCGAGATAGGGAGAAATGCCCTTTGACACTTTCGATCAGTAGGTTAAGACCTACAACATATCAAAACGCCAGCCGATTTAACCGGGCCCACTTTTCCCATAAGACCGGTCCGTCGTCCTTTTACTTGTTAAGAGGGAATATTATGAGTTTCAACGAGAAAAATGTAAAAATTCAAGATGATTCTAACCTCAATCTTGTCTGTAAACAGCTAAACGGCCGTAGAGAGAGACAGACTGATGATTTTGTACCTGTTTTTAACTGCGATAACTCGGGTAAAATTGGTCGATTTGAGGCGTTTTAAAGGTTGGACCCCCCTATTTTGACGCTTTAAAATCGATTTCGGGAGCAACCTCTGGGGTTCCCGGCGTTTAAAAGGTCGAAAATTCGTTTTGAAATTTGAAAGTTGTTACTTACGGGGAAACGCCATTAGTGCAACAAGGACAGCCAATTGTTTGGAACCCGAGACCGTAGTCGAAGGAATCCATGCTGGCTGTGACGTAAGACTAAATGAGTCCATTAAAGGCCCCGCGAGTCACCACTGTACACTGCCTATATTTGTACTTAGGTATATCTAATTGAGCTTCTTTAGCTTACTGATTGCTGCTGAAGCTCAAATTGCAGAACGAATTTAGGACATTTTTGACATTAGCAGCTGAAAGTAGATGAAAGATGCTCCATTAGACACCAACTTGATATAATTTACCTGTCTTTTCAGACTTGTCTCTGTTTCAGACGCAAAACGAACGGATTAGTATCATATGCGTCGATTAGGAAATTGGAGAGGAAAACCCCGTTTTCTGACACAACAGGGAAATTCTTTTAACCTTGCGTGACATTCTCATGTATTTTTGTCTCCTGGATTCGAAAATCGCCTTGGTTTCAATTCAGCATGCACCAGTTTTCCGGAAAATCGCATTTTCCGAAAGGTCCATTTTAAGGGGGAAATTCGAATTTTCCGAAAATGGGTTGGTGTAGGAGAAAAACAATGGTCATTTTCGGACTCAGCTCTAAAAATTACATGTTGATCACCTGTCAAATGTCCCGTGCTTACTCGCCGCAGACCGATGGAATTCAAATTCCCTCGAGCCACTATTATATGAATTTCACTTTTTCGGAATCATTTGAGCCTTATTCTCAAAATGGCACTTTGGGGCAGCCAATTTTTCTTGATACTGGATCTTAAGGGATCTGTTAACACTGTTTTACAAAGGTTTCCCGTAAATACCCGTAAATAGGTAGTTAAAAGTCTGACTACATTATTATTTGAATGGTTTTGAGGGAAATACTATTAAGCTAAATTACTGCGCATAAAAATGGCGATATTTTAAAATTTTATCAGTGAAATATATTCTACTTAAATAGGAGAATAAGCTTATTTTATCAGTAAGTGTCATAAATTTATTGGGAAGAAATACCAAGAAACAAACAATTTGTCCCAATTGAGGCAACTTTTCTTGAGTGCCGCCTGAGCCACTTAGAGAGGCTGTGTGCGCTGAATTGGGGTTGAAAAATTGAAAATCAATACCCGTATCATAAAATATAATTCTTTAGGAAGACATCTACATCAATGAAGTGACTATTTGTGAGAAACGCCCATGTCCGACTTTTTGCAGGTTTTGATCCACCGTGCGCCACCTATCTCTCGGCAATCGGTTATGATGTATGAATATTATTTTATCGAATTTCTTCAAACCACTTAACTTTATTGTTAATCTCTTTACAATAAGTGATGACTACATATATTTAGAATCAACTTGTCAGTATCATGAGGCATCTCCAATGAAATGATTGATTAATGATGCCACCTAGTGAAGATTGCGATCCTTATGAATCTTAGGTTTTCTTTGATTCACAAGGATATATCGGATTCATTGGCATCACACTTAAGACATGGCTGTATATTATAATCTTAACCTAAGTATGGTAAAAAAGCTAACCAAGACCTACTTCTCTGAGTAGAATCACGTTTCGTTGTTTAAATGGTCTTAATATAATTCAGGAGTGATCGAGCATCGATCTCACGCCTCTAATCTGGCGGTCGAGTGTCCTAACCACTCGATCACGGGAACTCACGGGGATGATAGTGGAAACTAGCAACATAGGAGGTTCTCCGCCAGGGACCTCTTCCACTCTCCCTGCTGGAAATGGTTCACCACCCGCCCGCCGGGAGCGCCACCTCCAAATTAGCTCATATCTCCCTATGTGTTGGATTATAACAACAACAATAAACATTCACCATAATCATAATGAACGAATAAGTGCTCCGTCGAATCAATGAATCAATCATGTTCGTGCAGAATTATTATATTTGTGTTCAGTACCCTGTAATAAAAGAACTGCAAAAGATGGAGTCTGCTGGGATGCTTTAGTCCATAAGCAACTAACATCTAAGCTTCCAATAAAGATCTAAGCGTTAAGCGTCTAAGATCTAAGTGTCAGCTTTGATGATTCATAGTATGTAAGTACTTACTTAGTCGTCTAATTGTTTGATCTATACAGAGTAATTTTGGAGGTAATATATAATGCATTTGAAATCGTAGGTTTCACCTGACTCAAAGCTCTTGCTGCTAATACCCAGGAGCGTTCTGTCTCCTTGAGCGTTCGGCTCAATTGACAATTTGTTATTGGCTCTTCTCCAATTTCGAGTCTAGTCTAAAGATCTTTCAGGAACTCAGATGAATGACCCAGTAGAGTGGCTCAATTATGGCTATGTCGGAATTTTTTGGTCTTATCTCCTGAAACTGATCCGTTCCATAAAAAACACTCTCTGCCAAGTTTCAGCCAAATAGGATAATATTAACCCGTGCCAATAGAGCCATCTGTTTTGTATGGGATTTTACATTGAAAAACGCTTTTTTTCTGAAAAATCCTTTTCCCGGAAAATTTGTAATTTCTTGAAATTATCTGAGGTCATATTCGGCTTTAGCAGGAAAAACTGAGTGGGATAAGTTGTAATGAACACTTCAAAAAAAACAAAATTGGCCTCCGGCCAATTTATGCGCGCCGCGTACCGGCGCTTCGCACCGGCATGTGGGCATCATGGTGCGGAGATCGCACAAGACTTTCTCGCTTTTGCCGGCGCTCCGCGCCGGCATGGACACTTTTACTGGAATATTTAGAAAAATACTGCCAATTTCACAAAATCATAAAGTTTGATTGGAATTTTGATCGCAGGATAATAGTTATGAAATTTTTATTCAAACCACTGCACTTTATTGTAAATGTCTTCGAGATATGTGATGAATTCATACATTCGGACTCGACTTGTTGATATTATGAGGCATCTTCAATTAAATATGTAATTGATTAATGATGCCTCCTATCAAAGACGGCGATCCGTAAGAATCTTAGCTTTTCTACGATTCATTAGGATGCATTAGATTCATTGGCATCATACTTCAGATACGATTATATATTATAATCTTTCCTTAAGCACGGTCAAAAGCCATCAACAATCTACTTTAATGGGTAGAATGACAATTCGATGTTAAATAGTCTTCAAACTGAACGGTTTTCGCTTAGCATCGCGCAAATTTTTTTGGCGGGCGAATCTATCTGCTGGTAATGGTTCACTACCCACCCGCCAAGAGCGCCAGTTCCTTAGCGCGTATCCCTGTAATTCGAAACGAAAACAATAGATAGCGCCACATCCTTGCTGTTCGTATAACCGTGTATTTAAACAACAACGACAAACGTCAACAAACCTAAACGGGTTATAACGCGCATTATTATCAATATCAGTCATGTTTGTGCAGTTTTATTATATTATATTCGTATTCAGCACCTCGTAAAAAGGAACCGCGAAAGATGGAATCTGCCGGGATTCTAAATTTATTAACAACAAACATATTAGTTTCTAATAAAGATCTAAGTGTCAGTTCTTACGTTAGCTTCGATGATTCACAGTATGTAATATAAGTACCTAATTAGTTGTCTAATTTTGCTCGGTGTATACCTACGGAGTAATTTTGGAGATAGTATATGATGCATTATATAATGCATTTGCATTCCTAGGTTTCACCTGACTCAAAGCGTTTGCTGCTAATATCGTTCCGACTCATTTATCGGAGAATTGAGCGTTTCCTATCGGCCCCTCTGCAATTATGAGATTAGTCCGAAGCTCCTATAGGAACTTAAATTAACGACTCAGGTGGTGCTTTTGAGCCAACTTTTAAAGAATTAAATGCATTTTTTCAAAATCTACCGTCCATGAGCTCTCCGTGTGACCGAAGTGCTCTCATGTCGCGGAGCAAAGTGCCCGACTTTTGGACCTCATAATCCCTTGAATTTTGAGTTTAGTCCATAGATCTTTTAGGAACCTAAATTAATGACCCAGATGATGTGCTTGATGCCCACTTTTAAAGAATTAAAGGCATTTTTCAAAATTTACAGTCCCTCAAAAGGAGCTTTCCGTGTGATTTTGCTGAAAATGGACCTTTAAACCAATTTGACCCTAGCCCCCCCAAATTTTAGCGTACCCCAAAATCGTTTGTCGTGCATAAGGAAACTATAGATATGGTGTTCTGTGCCAATTTTGAATGAAATCGAACAGATAGATTCTGAGATATTGCTGTACACAGATTTGGGGGACATCGGACGGACGGACACACATTTTTTCAAGTATGGTTATTTTGATTCCTAGGACCTTAAAACGTCTAGAAATGATGAAATGGCAACTTTTTTTTTTTTTTGTTTCTTTTTGTTTTTTTCTTGGAGGATGACAATACTTCTCTCTACTTCCTCTAGGGGAGCGAGAAAGTAAAAATTTACCCCTTGTTATAGCGGTGAAACAACTGAGGCATCTAGAAAACGCCAAGAAAGGGGTAAAATGACGGCGATAAATCGCAAATAATTACACAGGTCTGCCCACGAAAACAAAACTCACCGTATGGTAGGTGTTACACTTGTACTTTTTTACGCCAAGTCCGAAAATGCTATCCATTTTTCTTTATTCCATCGGAAATTTCCGGCAAATCGATTTTCTTGGATATAAAGATGGTTTGCTGGGGAGAACTCAATTCTCAGGAAATAAACCCCTACACGTGATAGATGTTTCTGATGTGCACTTCGCGGTGAATCCGATGATGCTATCCATTTTCTCTATTTCATCAGGTTTTTCCGGAAAATCGATTTTCTCGTGAAAACAGGGTTTCATGGGGAGAACTCAATTTGTAATGGGTGTTTTTGATTTGTTTTTTAATATTGAGTCCGAAAATGATGAAATAGTTGCTCCATTATACTGCCGTGTAACGCAAAAACGCCGTAAATGCAATTTTAGGTTTTTTGGTAACAATATATCATAGCAATAACACTTGTGTGCCTTGCGAGGATGTTTTTACAGAGTTTTTTCGCAAATTCTCTCAAGAACTTAACCTAAGAATATGAGATGCCTGGGTAAAACAGTTTTTACTTTAAAAAGTGTTAAGTTCCAAAAAACGCGGAAAAATCTGGATGGATTTATGGTGTTCTTGCTTAGCACGGCAAGGAGAAAAACGATCGACTTGTTATACATTTTTTTGATGTATTTTGCTTCGAGGTGCCTTGTTTGCATCTCGCTTGATCAAGACCTCTGCGGTAGGTAGCAAACGGCTGAGTCTAAAAAATTCACTATCAGGACATTTTTTACGCAAAATCAATCTACCAGGAAAATGCAGAAAATGACAAGCCCCCATACTTTTTCAGCTGCTGAATTATGAAATCACCTGGTTTTTCGCGTAAATTCACAAGTTTTCCAGGGTACCGAGTTTTCCCTGGAAAATCCTTTTTTCTTCCGGGAATTTAGTTCCTCTGAAACTCATTATGGATTAGAAGGAAACGGTTATCATTTTTGAATTCAATATTTAAAAAACACATAATAAACATCTATTATAAGTCGATCGTTTATTTCCTCAAAATTGAGTTTTACCCATGAAACCCTGTTTTTATGAGAAAATCTATTTTCTGGAATATTTTTCCAATGTTAAAAATTACCTCTTGGGCAGATGCCTGGTAACAAATTAGAATTGAGAGAAGAGATGGACCAGAGGGGCCCGTTAGACTGTTTGAGAGGCCCCCAAACTTGGATAATCTTGCGCAACCCTGTAATGATCAAAAGTGTAGAATAGGCGTTAGAAATAAGGAGAGGGAGGATAAAGGGATGAGTCACTAAACGGTTAGATATTAGTAACTTTCACCCGGAATTCTGAAAATTGGAGACGTCATTTTAAACTGCACGCGCGGTTTGGATCGGAGGACTTTGGCAACAATGCGAATTCGGCCGAGGGGTATAATTTGTGGAACTGAGCGGGAGGGGACGTTCTCCATCCGATCAACGCCGCGCGCGCAGTCTAAATAGCCTATTTTCCCGACCTTCGCTTCTTTCCGCTGTTAAAACTAAAACTCCATGCAAACCGTGGCTCCATAGACTTGATTGGAAACGCTCCCTTATCACTAACATAATCAGGCTTAGGATTGGTCACAGCCTTTACCCCACCCACCTGTTCAAAATCAATTTAGCAACCACTAGGATGTGCGAATGTGATCCCATAGGAAACTTAGACCATATCCTTTTCCAATGTGAAAAACTAAAATGCAGGGTTATCCAAAAGTCACTGACCACCCCTGTAACTTTTTTCCCCATTGAGGTAGAAATTTGAAACTTTGGCCATGTTCCTCGATCTAAAGTAGCAACTTTTTGGTCTTCCCAAAATTTTGGGGGGCAGCCCCTCCTAAGGGGGCGGGGGCTAACTTTTTTTTTCAAATGACAACCCCCCCCCCTTTGTGGTACCTCATTCGAACGATGATAAAAAAAACATTTTTGTCGCAAACCGCAGGTCAAGATGTTGATTTTTGGCAAAATGGCAGCAGATCAAAGTTCAGAATGGTGGAAATCTGACATCTCCGTTGTTTATCGACGGATTGGCGCGAAACTCGCATCGTCAGGGGTTTTCGAGACGAGAAAAACGATTCTGGCATTGGTTTTTCCAGAAAAGTCAGTCCTTTTCAAAATGGCGGCCCAGAGCGGGAAGTGGATATTCAGGCTGCTTATCGTTGGATTTGCATGAAACTTGGTATTCGGGGTATTTCGGCACGAGAAGAACGAATCTTTCATTGGATATCTGAAATTTCGACTAATTCCATTATGACGGCGGAAAAATGGCGGGAAATCAGTTTGACGGCGGTTCACCGATGAACTTGCATGATACTCAATATCGATTATCTAGTATTTCAAGGATCTAATGAGAAATTCCTTTCTATCGAGCCAAAAACCACCAAGATATCGAATTTCATGAAAATTCATCGGTAAACAGCCGTAAAACTGATTTTCCGCCATTTTCCACCGCCATTTTGAAATTTGTCGGAATTACAGATATCCAATGAACGAATAGTTCTTCTCGTGCTGAAATACCCCCGAATCCCAAGTTTCATGCAAATCCAACGATAAGCAGCCTAACTATCCACTTCCCGCTCTAGGCCGCCATATTGACTGCCGCCATTTTGGAAAGGACTGAATTTTCTGGAAAACCAATGCCAGAATCGTTTTTTTCGGCTGGAAGAACTCTGACTGTACGAGTTTCACGCCAATTCGTCAGTAAACAGATGATGTCAGATTTCCGCCATTTTGAACTTTGATCGGCAGCCATTTGGTCAAAAATCAACAATTTGACCTGCGGTTTGCGCCAAAAATGTTCTTTGTTATCATCGTTCGAATGAGTTATCACAAAGAGGGGGTTGTCATTTGAAAAAATAAAAGTTAGCCCCCGCCCCCTAAAATTTTGGGGGGATCAAAAAGTTGCTATTCTAGACCGAGGAACATTGCCAAAGTTTCAAACTTCTATCTTAATTTGGAAAAAGTTACAGGGGTGGTCAGTGACTTTTGGACAACTCTGTACAGAGACACCCTGTTTTCTGAACTAATTAAAAAATTTGAAATCTTCCCACCCTATTCATCTCTATTCATTCTGTCGATCGGTGACCTCAATGTTCTAAAATTTTTAGCCCGTTTTCTTGACAAAAATGATATCCACTTCTTATCTACCAAACTATCACACCCACCTTCAAGAATTCCAGAGCCCTATACCACTCTTCCTAACCGACTTATTTTTTAACCTGATCAACCCACTATTTCCAAACAACACAATTTCACCTCCACCCACAACTTCTACCATTTATTCACTTGGTATGTTTTCCATTACCCAGTGTCTTGGCATAGTGACTCGCTTTGCCGGGTA